AGCACTGATGTTTAATGTTGCATTTAAACCACTTGGACAGGTACACAATGCCTGCGCTGTTCTTGTTGACATTCCGCTGGCCTCATGCAAATAGAACAGCATCAGTGCAGTATCTGAGCCACATTATAGGAGGGACATGAATGCATGTGAGAGAATGCAGAAGCAGTTTACGAAAATGGTTCCCATGGATGAGAAACTTCAGTTATCAGGAAAGATTGGAGAGTTTGGAACTGTTTTCATTGGAGAGAGAAGACTAAGAGGAGATGTGATAGAAGTTATTAATGTCATAAGGGTGTTGGAGAAACTGTTCTCATTCACAAGTGGATCAAGAGCCAGAGAGTGCAGATTTGAACTGCTTGGCAAAAAAAAGCAAACACGAGTTTAAAAACACATTTTGACACAGTGAAGGTTTGAATGTGTTGCCTGGAAGTGTGGTGCACGCAGGTTCAATTGAAACATTCAAGAGGCCATTAAAAGATTATTTTAATAGGAACAATGTGTAGGGTTAAGGGGAAAAGGCAGGAGATTGGCACTGAAGCAAAATGTTCTGCAAGCCAATGAGGACACAATGGGCTGAATGGCCTCTTTCTGCACCATAACACTGCTGTGAAACTCAAATAAGGTCATAAGGTGTAGGAGCAGAAATAGCCATTCAGCCCATCGAGCCTGCTCCACCATTCAATGAGATCATGGCTGTTCTAATAATCCTCAACTTCACTTTCCTGCCTTTGCCCCATAGCTGTCAATTGCTTTACTGTTTAAAAATCTATCTATCCCCCAGCCTTGATAGATCTTTGTGGTAAAGAATTCCACAGATTCACAACCCTCTGACAGAAGAAACTCCTCCTCATCTGAGTCTTAAATTTATGACCCCTTATTTTGAGATTATCTCCTCTGATCCTAGACTCTCCCACAAGAGGAAACAACTTTTCTAAATCTACCCTGTCAAGACTTCTAACCATCTCACATTTCAATAAAGTCACCTCTTGTTCTTCTAAGCCCCAATGAAAATAAAAATGAAGTTGTTTTCACACTTTGATTTGCCGAATTAACACCCTCTGCACATATATCTCACGAGAATCCCTCTACAGCGAGGAGTTCATTGTGTCCGCGGAAGAACTTTATCATTTCACTTCTCCAGGGCAAGGGCATCTAATTTCACAACCACGACCATCTCCAATTCATGCATAAAAAAATCAAAAGACTGCAGAAATTGGAAATATAAAGGAGGAACAGAAATGCTGGAAGCATTTTGTAAGACAGTAATGCTTGTGAAGTGAATAGAAAAGTTAACTTTTCAGGTCAATACTTTTCCTCAGAGCAAGAGCATTCATGGCTTAAATAAATACCTTTGAGCTGAACCTTATCACATTTTGGCTCATTGTCATTTTCCTTGGGTGTCATGTAGGGTTTCCCTCCCTGAGGCCTGGTGTTATTTTTGTGTTTTCATTCCAAACTCGCCTCATTAATTACCTATCCTACCCTTACAGTGACACTCTTGTTGATGTTAGCCAGACTTTCCCACTTAGCATAGCCAAGAGTACTCGCCACTGCCTGATCTCCTTGCATTCCTGGTGCCAGTGTTATCTTTAAAAGGCCATTGCATACCCAGTGCAGCACTGGCATTACAAAGCAGCCCTGCTTGGCTGCACACATTCCTAGATGTTACGGCCGATAACTGTGTGGCTTCAGAGCCACTTACACACTTACACGGGGACACCTTCCAACCCCCCGCCTCACACCCACCTGCACTAAGAGCCTAGCCATCAACTTTTATCGCACTCAATCCCTCTCTTTCTCTCCTTCCAGGATTAAACAGACCAGGAATGGCTAGTTCAGGTAGTGTAGTACCTGAAATCTGTTTCTTCATTTCCCCCAAGAGGTAAGGGTCTTGGCATCAGCTGGACAGGACAAGGACTGGTCCTGCAGAGATGCTGAAATACCCATGTCTCACCAATCGAGTAAGAAACAATGTTTATCATGTTTATTCTCTTTTGTGTCTTGCAGGTAGCAGTGGCATGTCCACAGTTTAGGTCAGCAAGAGGGTGGTAGCCCAGCACATCCCCTCCAGCAGGAACAGTTCAGTAAGGGTACCTTAGAGAAAGAAACAGCAAGGTTGCTTCCTGCACCCATCACCAGTTCAGACACTGACACCTCGGTGGGTTGTACAGTAGATTACAGTCGGGAAAGCCTGCTGGTGAGCACTTTGCTGCCAAATCTCCACAGCTGGTCAGGGAAGAAACACCCCAGTGAGTAGCATTCAGTGCACTGTCAGAGACCAGGCACCTGCTCAGCCCCAGGCAGGAGAGGAGACCTTGGTGTCAGCAACTAAGGACTTCATTGAGATGCAGAAGCAGATGGTACGGTCGCTCAGTGGTTAGCACTGCTGCCTCACAGAGCCAGGGGCCTGGGTTCAATTCCCCCTTGGGAAACTGTCTATGTGGAATTTGCACATTCTCCCCATGTCTGCATGGGTTTCCTCTCGGTGCTCCGGTTTCCTCCCACCGTCCAAGGTGGATTGGCCGTGCTAAATTGCCCATAGCGTTCAGGGATGTGTAGATTAGGTGGGTCTGGGTGGGATGCTCTGAAGGTTGGTGTGGACTTGTTGGGCCGAAGGGCCTGTTTCCACACTGTAGGCATTCTATTTTATGGAAACAGACACAGGAGCAACAGGTAGTCATACAGGTGGCAAGTTCCAATGTGGATTATTCTGGTCAGCCATGATCTTATTGAATTGTGGAGCAGCCTTGAGTGGCTAAGTGGCCTATTCTTGCTCCTAATTTCTATGTCCGTATATCCATATAACATTTTAATGAACTGTGTATCTGTGCCTACTGGTCAGATTTAGCTTAAGAATAGGCTTGATTATCTTTTTTTGTTTTTATTTCATTTAATACATTAACAGCAAAGATTATTGAAGGTCTGGGTTCTGAACATGGTCACAAATTTACTTCACCTACTAATTTAATATTCATATTTAATAAAGAGGTAAAGGATTCCTTAAACAATTAATTTGTATTTGATAGATGGAAACTAATGGAATAAAAGGTTAATGTATTTGCAAAAGACAGAAACATTTCTGGAAGGAGATTCAATTAAATAAGCCAAACTTGTACAAGTAATGAAAGGGGATTTATGCTATTAATATTTATTGTTCTAATGGTAGAGTTGAACAACAAGAAAACTTGTTCAATCAATTCAAAGAAGAATCCAATTTTGATCTAAGTTCTTCCTCGTGACTTTGCTAAGCTTGGAGAAAGCACCTGTTTTTCGCATTCTTATTGCATATTTACCAATTCAGTGTCATGAAAGCTCAATGATCTCCTAGGTCCAAGCTGATGTTATTAAATTTTCATGATGATACATAGAATATCACCTGCACATCCCTTCCATGTAGCAGAACAACTTTCTACTTTTCTCCCACTGCTCCACCATTTGAGAAGAGTCTAAATAAAACACTTTAAAGTAAAAGTGAGGGTACCACTCTCATCATAGCTTCATGAATCTAACACATATTTATTTTAAAATACTTGGCTTCAGTGCATCAAAAATTGTAATTCAGCTTTCTTTCCAACACCACTACATTAGTGAAACTTACCATGGTAACTGATGGCAACTCCAGATCACATTGGTTAAAACATTCAAACTATTTTTAACAGAAATTGTTGCTCCTAGCTTAGATATCCAATGTGATTTTTTTTTAATGTGACATAAGGAATCAGGAGTAGGAGTCGGCCATTCGGCCCCTTGGGCCTGCTCTACCATTTGATAAGATTGTGGTTGATCCAACTGTAACTTCATACCCACATCCTTGCCTACCCTGATAGCACTTCATCCCTTTGCTACCAAAAATCTATCCATGTCTGCCTTAAGGATATTAAAAGACTCTGCTTTGTGAGACTGCGAGGTATATATCTGGCCTCGTCTACTCCTGCTTCAGCCTGCCAAATGAATGATGAGACTAATACCTGCACATTAAATCTTGCTGAGGTGAACAGTGATTGACAGCAACAGAAACAGAAATTGCTGGAGAGACTCAGCAGGTCTGTCAGCATCTGTGAGAGAGAAACAAAGTTAACCGTTAACCCCATATTCCTGCACACCATTGCTATCGAAATGATCATCTAATGCCCTTGTTGTAAATTGTCTATAAGTACATACAAGAAGTACAAAATAGTCTCATACGGACTGTGCAGAAATTACAGTGGAATTTTGACATTCCTCTTTATAGCTTAAATCCAGTTGCAACAAAAAAGGCATTTTCTAAACATGAAAGGATACTATTTACATTCCCAGTAAGGCCACAAGGGTATCTCGAAATATAATAGACCCTCATTATATTTTGGCAGAAAGACCTTAGACAGTGGTCTTTACCCCACTATGCCTTGGTGACAGCTTCCCCCAGCTTCACTGCATCCTTCAACACTTAGTCCTGCACCTTGGAATGTGCCAGGATGCAACACTCACTTGAGGTAAACACTTTGCACTGGAAGACCAACACATTTCAGACAGACGGAAGAGTGTCTTTCACTGAGTTGACGGTCTACCAGGCATAGTCGATGTTTGTCTTGATGAGTGTCCCAGGCGACAGCTCATAGAGCATGGTGTCCTGCATCACTAAGCTGCTTGGTACGAACCTTGACAATAGCCACCCCTGCATCTCTTTCCAGACCTTCTTTGCAAAGGTACATTCCAGAAGCAGATGTCTGAAAGTCTCTTCACCAGGGCAGTCAGCGGGCTGGTTTCAATGCAGAATGATGCCAACAGGGCAGGGTTCAATGCCTGCATCAAGTGAGGTTACCCAGAAGGTCCCACCTTTTCAACCTCACCCCTCACCTGAAGCGTGGTGGCCTTCAGGTTAAAGTCTTTCTCTCTCTAATAAGGGAGCAGTGCTTTAGGACTATGGTGACTTTAATGTTTTTACAGCATAGATTTACAAATATACGTGTGTGCAGATGTGTCTCTATGTGATTTACGTGCATCTGTCTGAGCCCACGTGGTTCTGGTTGAACATACTTCCTCCTGCAGGGGGCAGGTTGCTGCTGCTCTTTGCGACCTGCCGTAAGATGTGAGCGGTCGCTGAGGAGATGGGAACCAGCCTCCCCTTTACAAACAGCGCGAATGTTATTAGTTACTGGGCTCAGCATGTAAGTAAAACAAAGGAGGGGAAAAAAAAAAGCGATAGATCTCTGGTAGTAATCTCCTCTCTGCTGTTTTATCGCTTGCGGAATTGGAGGCACAGAGCGGCGAGTGTTCCGGTGGAAAGGAGTGAGGGGCTCGGGCCTAGGCCTGAGGCTTCCCCCTCAAAACCATCACCTCAAGAGCCCCGGCCTGGTGCTTCCTGTCTCATTGAAAAATACTCCCCGAGACAACAAGTAAAACCCCTCTTTAGTGAAACAAGATGCATCTTCGTGGCATTTAATCCCATCCCATCCCATCCCATCCC